TCATAATAATGCACTCAGTGGGATCCCTGAGCTTGCTTCCCTGACCATACAGTCCTGTCTGGGGGTGAAGGGTGGCAGTGACAAGCAAGGAGTGTGGCGTATGTCCAGTCTACTCCATAATCTTGGTTTTTTACTGTCACTGGAGAAAACCCTACTTCACAAAGACAGGAAGGTGGAAATTGAAGGCTTTTCAGTGCTTTGGTGGAAATCTCAGGTTATTCTGCCTTGACGTTAACCTAAAGCCTAGGAAAGCTTGAAGCTGTCTCAAATACAATCTTAAGGCCATCATTTGTAGTCTCATGCCATTTATCCTTTTCTAACAAGGACAGTCCCTGGGTTTCTAATCCATTCCTTCCCAACTCACGCGCCTTTTATGGTTGAGAGGTACTGCTCCAACTCTTTTGAAACCTAAGACAGGTGATAATACGTCTGCTAGGAGAAAAAAAGTCCCTGGCTCCATCTCTCTCAAGATTTCCACGAATGCTTGGCACACTGCAAAGATCCCAGTGCTCATTTGTCACCTCCCAATTCTATTTGGCTCAATGCAGCTGCTGCATCCACTGACTTGAACACAGTCATCATGCTCAAAGTCGTCATACCTCGTATGTCACACAGGCAAGCAAGCTGCTGGAATATGCTGCCAGTACAACTGTTTTTCTACAAGCCCTGGTCAGGTTCCCATATCTTAAAAAGAACTCACCTCAGGCTCACGAGCTCCCTTTACAAGGTATCTCACTTCTGTGTAGAAGACGTGTGTGCTCTGTACGCACTTCCTCACAGAGCAGTGAACCTGTAATTTAAGTGGGGTTCTTGGTGCTTTTTTTTTTTGTATTTTTTTTAAAGGAAGGGTCTACAGGGTGTTCAGGGTCTCACTACTAGATTGGACTCGTAGTGATCCACCTGTGTACAGCCTACCAAGAGCTGGGCTTACAGTTGTGCGCCACCACGCCTGGTCTCCATTGCTGCCTCAGTGAGCCCTAGGGGCGGGGCTGGCACAGCAGGCCTGGGGATCAACACCCCCCCCCCAGCCCCTGCACCTGCTTGCAGGCGCGCTTTAATCCGCTGAGCTATTTGGCTGGCCCTGGTGCTTTCTTTAAATGTAGTTTTCTTTTTGTTGGAAGCCCTAGAGTCTTCTGCTGTGTCACCATCAAGTCTTTTTTCCATTTTTGAAGAAGTTCTCCAGTGACTTTATTTTTCACTCATTTTGGCTATAGTTAGCTTGTGGGCTTACCAAAAATTAAGACAAATGTGTAGTGTGAGAAAGAATCACATGGTACTGCAATAACACGTAAAATTTTTACTTTTGTGCATTAGAAGTACAATTAAAAAGAAATATGGAGGTTAAAAAAAAAGAATGGAAAAAGGTTGCTCACATGAGTGGGCACAAGTGGTGGGACAGAGCATGAGGGAAAATGGGTGTTTTTTAACAAGCATTGTAACCACACTTGAATATTTAACCATGCATAAGTATTAGTTTTGAAAACATATCATAAAATTAATGTAATCTAAAAGCCCACTAGTGGTTTCATCACACCCATAGTTCCAACTTGGCTTTCAATGGACCCACTTTACCTGCTGACTTAAATTGTCATTCTCACCTGAAGGAACAGAGTGAGTTCACTGAACAGGTTGAACAAGTCACACAAGTAAACCAGCTTTGGGACGCACGTGCCAGGGGATTCTCATTCTTTAGGACCCAACTGGTGGGCTTGCGATCTGGATACCTGGGAACCTGAGCCCAAAGGATCACTTGAGCCCTGGAGCTTGAGATCAGCCTCAACAACACAGCAAGACCCCATTTCAAAAAGGAAAACCAAACCAAAAAGAAAGGAAAACAGGGGAAAGTACTTAAAAAGAAAACAGTGGAAAATATTTGTACCCTAATTTTCTAAATTTAAATTGGAAAAACTATTTTTAAAAATAAATAGGTTTGACTACGCAAAAAATCCAAAATTTCAATTTATCAAAACAAATTTCTGGGACCAAGAAATAATGGCAGCCCCTTGTTTCATACATCTTTAGTGCTGCAAATCAACACGATAAGTTAAGCCAAGCTGGAGCGGTTATGTGGAAAGGATTGGTTAAGTATGAAGAGGGTAGAAATTGCAAAACGAAAGGGCTGGGAGATAGCTCAGTGGCATAAGCACCTGTCTAGCAACCACAATGTCCTGAGTTCTAGCCCCAGTACTACAAAAAAGAAAAAAAAAAAGAATATTTAAAAAAAAATTTTGCAAAAAAAAAAGTGACCATTGCAAATGTCTCCAGAGATCAAGCAAATAAAAAGAGGGAACCAAGACAAACAAGTGGGTCGAGCCAGGTCTAAGACATCTGTGTGAATACAGGGAATAAGGAGTCTCATCTAAATATATTAAGATTAAAACCAACCTCCCAGTTTGCAACCTGCCAGAGTGAAGTTGACTGAATGGTCAGCAAGTGCCTAGGGAAGAGCCAGCGGAGGCTCAATGGTAGAGCATTTGCGGAGAAGCCACAAGGCCCTGGATTTCACTCCTAGGATGCAAACAACACAAACAGAAAGCGCCTAGAAAGAGTGGAACAAGGGCATAATCTTGGGTCACCTCAACATTCCCAGGAGACAGAATGCCACATTTCTTACACAGCAAGAGAAATGAAGCTGAAGAGACTCCCTTAGAAAGAAATGAACTGGGGAGATAGCTCAGTAGAATAAGTGCTTGCCTGGCACGTGTGGTGTCGTGAGTTCAATCCCCAGTACCACACAAAAAAAAAAAAAAAAAGGAAGAGCACGTTACACACTGCACTCGTTTCCTCTGAGGAAAAGCCCTCCTCGCCACTGTGTGAAGCCTCCACTGGGAGCGCCAGGACCGCGCCCATTTTCTGCAGAACCACAGAGCCTCTCTGTTATGCTCCTGCTGGTTGGGTGCTCTGTCCAAGAACTGGGGAGGTACAAGACTCTAAGATTGCTAGGGTCCAGTGTGGCAGCAAAGGCAAGCACGTTGGCTACGATTCAGTTCTTCACATGCACAAAGGAGGCTGGGAACTTTCAGTAGTGGCAGCCAGAGCCTAGCATTTAGGAGGAACTGTACAGTCATGCAATGTTTAATATAACCTCTAGCCTCCTAGAAATATATGGCTGGCTACATCTAGAGGTGTACATTCTTATTTTCATGGTTAAAAATAGTAATAAGCAAAGGAACAAAAGAGGTACACTTTAAAAGCAAAAAGTTCTCAAAATAAAAATGGCCTATTATAGAATTCCTGAAAGTTTAAAAAACAGGGTAAGAGTACTTACACATTGTGATGAAAAGAAATTTTAATACCCAAATTGCATGATTTTCTGTTTTCAGGAGTACAATTCACAATACAAGATGATCAAGTCTGTATGAAACCTGGAAATATGGAAGAGAACTTGGCTTTCAGTAAGATAAGATACTTCATAAAATATTTTAAGGTCCTGAGTTCATTCACGGACTAAATAAATATGCACATGTGTGTACTAGGGGTACAGAGGCCTGGAAATGTAGGGTTCCAGATAACCAGTTCTCCTACATCACTTTCCTTTGTGCTTTTTACCAAAGCTAATCATTTTTCTTGATTTAAAGAATCAAATTGGGGGGCCGGGGAGATAGCTCAGTAGAATAAGTGCTTGCCTGGCAAGCGCAAGGGCCTGAGTTCAATTCCCAGTTCTGAGGGGGCGGGGAAGAAGAATCAAATTGGGCCAGTGAGATAGCTTAGCAGACTAAGTGCCTGCCAGGCTTTGATTCCCAGTCCCACATGCCATGCTAGCCCTGCCCCTGGGACATACTGAACTAGCAACAGATTTCAGTTATGGTAGCGCACACCTGTAACCCCAGCACTGGGGAGGCTGAAAATAGGAAGAACACTATGAGTCCAAGCTGTGCAGTGAGACCCTGTACCAAATATATGAAATGAAAAAAAAATTTTTAAAGATCAAATAATTCTATAGCCTACAATCCTATTTTAGTAAGCCTATGTTGCTACCACTTACTTTAGTAATATTTGGCACTATTAGTTTTGATTACAGAAGATGAACTTTTTCCCTCCCTCATCACCAATTTCTCCGCTCAAGCATCGTCTCAGTAGGTGCATCATCGATATTTGGCTCATATTCATCAGGGACCACCAAGAGCCCAGGTAGACGCTATCACAGCTGGCCATGCCGCATCATGAGCGCCCGCCCTTCCCTACTGCACATAGTCTTTCATTTGCTTATTTCTCTGTTTTACCCCCAAACTCTTCACAAATTGTGCAGATCTCTACACATCCTCACGGCCTCTCCACAGGCCTCTGTCTGTCCAACCTGATAAGGGCTGAGGGGGTGGCAGCCGCTTCACACAAGGGGAGCGCAGAGTGCCACAGGACAGCTCTCCGAGCAGAACCAGCCCAAGGCAGCTGTGCAGCCGCCTGCTGGGAAGCCAGACACTCAGCAGAGACAGAGGGACTATCTCCAAGTTCTCTGTGAGCACGAGCTGCCACTGCAGAGGAACACAGGCTGCGCACAATTCCAAAGGTAACTGCAGAAGCCTGAGTGCTAAAGAGAACTACCTACAGATTGCAAGAAACAGCCAGGTGCACCGTCAGTAGATTTTGCATGCATGGCTTCAGCTTCAAAGTCCTAGGCAAGAAGCAGCTTGTGGGCCAAGAGTGAAATCTATGTTTACTCTGTTAATCTCTTCCAAGTTCACACAGTCATCATGAGCAAGAGATGCAACTATGGTCAATACCCCTTGTCATTTTAAACACAGCAAGCCATTCCATCCCAATACTGGTCCCTAGCATCTAAGGGACACATTTTTCTCTCAATCACACTTTTTCCAGTACACAGCAGAGGAAGCTAATTTGAATCAATATTCACTGCAGAATTCATTCTTGCCTAGGAGACACCCTTTACCTACTGGGAATACTTCTATTTTCTCTCTGTTCTAAATTCCCAGCATGGCATGTACTTTTTCTAAAGTGGCTTCAACTTAAAGTAAATAAATAGTGACAAAAAAAAAAAAAAAAACCATCCAATTCATTTTTTACTAAATGTAGCTAGGTTACAAACATTTTTATTTTTAAAAGAATTAGTCTCCTGATTTAGTCAGGGCTTAGAGGTCATAGGAGATTAGCTACTGTCATTCAAAATGATACTTATTCAAGGCAAAGGTCAATATTCTTGGTCTTCAGGGCAGCTGCAGAAAGGCCTACAAGGCACTGAGGAATGTCCAACGGAAACACCTTTACTCAAACTTGACTCCTTGGGCCAGTGGAAGGTCCTTACTGCAGTTGATGGTACTGGAAAGGAAAAAAGTGAATAAAATTAAATTAATGATGCTACACACACAAAATAGAATCCTTTCACACCATTAATATTTATTGGTCACTAACTTATTAACAAGTTATAAGTTAGTGATGAAAACAATGTAGGATATAAAACAATATCAGTATGGATCCAGTATTATAATAGAAAATAAAAGAAATAAAGAGAACCATGAAAGTTTGGAAAGTATATATCCATACATGTTACTCAAATTTTCTTTTGAGCAGGACCCAAGAAAATGGGGACCGTAATTGTTCCTCTCTCAATGATTGTATTAAATTATCAGGGAAACATAAATATCCCCATTTGAATAGAAATACGATATTTATAATTTAGTAAAATAGAAGCTTCCTTATTAACTCATCCCCTGAGAGTCACCTAATTTTGAGAGGAAAATGTCCCCACTATATGGTTCAGAAAAGCCATAGCTAGGTGTTTGCCAGTCTAGTTCTCCAGTACAAGAAAAGTAAGAGGAGTGTGACAGATACAGAAAATGCGAAGTGGACAAAGAGCACACAAGTGTCCGGGATTCAACGCACTCAGCGAGTGTCCTCGGGCACCCTAGGGTGCAAGGAGCCAATGCTGAGGAACAGCCGGCTCAGACTGGCAGGAAGTGGTACGCCAGCCCCGGCCGGTGCCTGCAGGCTCTGTGTCCAGCCCTCTTTCTGCATCACAGTGCCACATGGAACTAATCCCACACACCATGTTATCTCAAGAACAAGGCCTCCCCAGCCACACATCCGCGGGCAAATGGACTAGTCCTTCTCAAGGGTCCTGATCACTGTTCTACACTGGCCTCCACCAACTTGCCAGCCTTCTCCTGCTTCCACAGCCTTCAAGTGTGGAAAGTACATTCGAGACACAACAGGGACAGCTTCTGCATCGTCTCCTGCTGGTGGACGCCCACGTGTCCTGTCACTGCACTGTCCCCCACACAGAAGCCACTGCCAGGCAGTCTTGGTTAGGGTATCAGGCACTGGCTGAAGCTGTACAGAATGGCTAGAAAAACAACTCAGCTTGAGCACCCTGATGCCAAACGCGTAGGATCAGAAGTGTCCCAGATTGGGGGAGGAGGGGGACATGTGCAACTCAGGTTTGTCATAAAGTTTATTTTAGTTTCACACACACGCTACATCCCTATCCTGATGGCACTTTCATACGTTTTCAGTTCACCTGCATTCTGGGATCTGTCACATGGTCAGGTGTGGGATTTCATATAAAGCATGTCAGAGCTCAAATAATTCCAGATTTTGGAGCATTTGGTTATGAGTGTTCAATCTACAATATAAAACAGATTCTCCAAAACAGAACAGCTACCAAATGGTAGAAAGAATAAAATCCAGGAAAACTGCAAGAAGAAAAAGTAGAAAATACAAGAGTTTAACAGAGCACGTTTCCAACAGCTCTAAGACCAAAGCCAGCCCCAAAGCCTCTGCTCACCACGTAGATCTTCTCATGTACAGCTTCCAGGCATCACTGCCAGACTCCCTGCCACCACCAGTGTGTTTTTCTCCTCCTACAGAAACACAAAATCATCTCAGATTTGTAGCAGTTTCTTTCTCTGTGAGCTTTTACTCAGTATCCTGGGGACAGAGATACAAGGAGACCAGAACTCTGTAACCAGTTACTTTATATGTAGATCAGTGTAGTTCCTATACAACAAATAAAAACAGGAAGCATAAACAAACAGAAAAAATTAGGGGTCAGGGAGACAGCTCAGAGGCATAAATGCCTGTCTGGCAAGTGCAAAGAAGCTGAGTTTGATCCCCAGTTCCAGAAAGGAGGAAAAAAAAAAAAAAAAAAACTAAGGAATTAAAAAGAAATAGAAATATATCAGGAAACAGAAGAAACCTTAAAAATATAAAGATACTGAATGAAAATTTCTAGACAATTGGAAGATAATCTTATTTTTTGTTTATGCTCATCTATTCTTTCTACTGTATACACATATACCCTACTGAAATTTTTAAGAGCTATTTTAGTATTCTAAAAAGGTTTCAATAAGATAATGATCCCTTACATAAGAAAATGGTATTATTTGAAAATATGCTATAAAAATACAAGACATAAGTCTTAGGTTGTTTTCAGTAACAGCAGAAGGTAGAAAACTCAATGGAAGAAAATTTTAAGGAAATCTCCCACAAAGATGACTAAAGAGATGGAAAACACAAAACAAAATCAGACAACACTGGTAACATTCTCATTTATGAATATAAGACTTCACTTGGTTTAAACTATTTTCAATGCAAACAGTATGCTTTATGTTCAGCATCTGCCTTCCTTCCAGAACCTGGGATCTTGGTATATGCCAGACGGAGGGCGCCTATGTGACCAGTCCTCTTAAGACCCTTCGCCCCACAGCCACAACCTGCTGCTGAAGGAAACAGGCATACCCCGTGCAACGCCCTGGGAAAGAACTTATTTTTGCTGGCCCTGCGCCCATGCCATGCTGCCATGAATTGGGGAAGTTCAGGGGAAGGGACAAGGGCTCAAGAAGTTAATATAGAGGGTCAATAATGTCAATTTGTCAAAGACAGCAGTTATATTGTGTTATTTAGGAAAACATGAAATAAATCAAAAGGTAAGTTTACTTTTTTCTTCTAATAAGAACAGTCTAAAAGCCACTGGAAAAGAAAGAGAAATAGAGTATGGGCAAACTGATATTTCCATTATAAAACTTTTTCAAAACTCTAAAAACTAAATGCAAAAGCTTAGAGGAAGAATAGTCCATTGGACGGTGATAGGCACAGCTCAGAAATGGAGTACAGAACCAGAGGGGACAGAAGGACTTGCACAAATCCAGACAGCCAGAGAGGAGTTAGAGGTGGGGTCCTGACAAGAAACTCGAGCCTCTGCCAAAACTTCACACTGAGCCAGAATTGTAGTGCTTGGTCTAAAAGCATTAAAAACAAAAAAACAAAACAAAACAACAACAACAACAAAAAAAAAAAAAACCCTAATCATACAAACTTACAGATATTATTATGTGTTTGTTTCTGGCTATGGTGGCACAAACCTATGATCCCATCATTCTGGGAATATGAGGCAAGACAACTGCCATTGTGAGCTCATCCTGGGCAATTTAGCATGACCCTGTCTCAAAATATAAAATAAAGGGCTAGGGATATAGCTCAGTTCAAAGGCCCTGGTATTCAATCTCCAGTATGCAAAAAAAAAAAAAAAAGGAAAATAAAAAAATTTGTTTTGCCTTCTCTATTATGAAAAAAAAAAGATAATCTCTTTTTACTATACTTGGATTTTTTTATTAAGTAAAACTGAAGGCAAGATTGTTGGGACAAGTTTTTTAAAACAAAACAAACTTATTACTAAGTCTAAGCATTAATAGTTTGTGGCTTATTATCAAAGATAGATAAATAAAAAACAAAGAGAAACAGGGCCCAGCAAAGAGAAAAAACTTTAAAATAAATAAACTATTTCATCTACTGGAAGACAATATATTTATTATGCCCACTTTGCTAATAAACACCCAAAAAAAAATTTTTTTTTTTTTTTGGTGGAATTGGGGATTGAATTCAGGCCCTTGTGATTGCCAGGCAAGTGCTTATTCTACTGAGCCATCTCTTCGGCCTTTCTTTCTTTTTTTTTTAATTTTTTATTTATGTGTGTGTGTGTGTGGCCAGCTCAGCCCACCAGGGGGCGGGGCTGGCTGGCATGTGGTACTGGGGGATTGAACCACGGTCCCTGTGCTTTGCTAAGCTTGTTCTAAGTAGGTGCTTTAGACCACTGAGCCATCTCACCAGCCCCTCAAATCAATTTTAAGTCAATAAAGGAGAGATGTCTTACAGGAAAAGCAGCATGTGACATCACAAAATCACGATTGGGCTGATGGCTGCCCCGTTGTCCGTGATCATCTCCCAAGAGCAACAGGTCCTAGAATCTCACATGCGGAGGAGGAAAGAAGATGACGGAAGCCCTCCCTTCAAATGAGATGGGGGAGATGTGTAAAATATGGGGAACAGTACAAAATGTTGTAGAAAAGTGCCCCCTGGATAAGGTTGTACCAGAGCAAGTGATGAATCAATCTGTTCATTGACAATACAATGCCACATTTCTGCAACATATTCAAAAGGAAGCAAAAGCAAGTGTTATCAGATTGGCTGTTTCTTAAACTTGCATGGAAAGAAAGATTCCAGGGCTGGTGAGATAACACAGCAGACTAAGAGCCTGCTTAGGCAAGTGCAGGGACTGGGGTTCAATCCTTGGCACCACATGCCATTCTGGCCCTGCTTCTGGGCACACTGAGCCAGCAAGACCTGGCATGATGGCCCATGCCTGTAATCCCAGCACTGGGGAGGCTGAGACAGGAGATTCACTATGAGTCTATGTACTGAGACCCTGTACCGGAGATTGAACTCAGGCCCTTGCGCTTGCCAGGGAAGCACTTATTCCACTGAACCATCTCCCCAGCCCTCCACTTTTTTTTTTTTTTTTTTTTTATTTTAGGGAAGAATCTACAGGGTATTCAGGGTCTTACTACTAGATTGGACTCATAGTGATCCACCTCCCAAGGTTTATAGCCTCCTAAGAGCTGGGATTACAGGCACGCACCACCATGCCCAGTCTAACACCAAAAGTTTTATGTGACGTTTTCCAGCCTCAAAGCAAGAATTATAAATCATTTTTGGAATTTAGATCTTCGGCCTAGAAGAGAGATGCCACATTTCTGGGATTCACATATCTCGGGGATAAGGTTCTGTGTTTAACCCACTGCTGCGTTTAAGCAGAACACAGGAGTCGAGGCAACACCCTCAGGTGGAACGTCAGCTTCTCTCAGTTTATAAGGTCAGGCAAGATGAATACGGAGTCTCAGCCTGGCTCCGTTTCTCCATACACTTCCCCAACAGCTTCCACTGAGCTTCCTTTCCCTCCCAACACAAAGGAGGAGAAATGATTCCCTACATACCGAAGGCTCCTCCGATCTCAGCCCCGTTGGTTGGAATGTTGACGTTTACAACACCACAGTCCGATCCTTTAGGTCTAGGTGTAAAGAAGAGCATAGTGAAGAGTAATGGACAGGAAATTAAAAACAAAAACTCAAATAATCAAGACTCTCTGTGAAAAGAAAAAAAAAAAAAAGACTTCATTTTTTTCAAGTTGATTCACCACTCATATCAGACTTATACAAACATTTAAAACCGACAATGCTCTACCCAAGCCAGCGGAAGATTCTGCCCAGATCCTTGGTAAAGATGCTACTTGAAAGTCCCTGCTTCACCTCATTATTCCACGCAAAGGCCTCTTCTTCATTCTACAAGGACACACGTTGGAAGCCGTTAGAGGTTAGAAAGCTCAAGCTAAAGCTCGCTGAGGTTAAACTCATTTTTATGAGATATACAAATAATTTTAGCGAACAAATGAAAAGCAAGAGGCAACATTTTACTAACTCCATATTTCTTTTCTAATTTAGATCATTTTTAATAAAACTATGAGGTTTTCTTCTTTAATAATTCAAGAAACAAAAGATCAGTACATTCTTCCATTTTAACTATTAAATAGCTTATGTTTATTCTTTAATGTGTATAACACACTGAACTATGCACTGAGTACATGGTTATTTAATCCCTACACTGTGACATGAAATTTATACAATCGCCAACTTACACATTTGCCAACTAAAGCCTTGAGAAGCTAAATAATTTGCTCAAAACAGCACATTCAAACACACACGTTACACAGCCTGGATACTCCCTAGTGCTGTATGTAAAACAATGATAGATAATTTAAAGCAAAACGTAAGTAAGGGCAATCACGTAACTGTCAACAGGCTGCAGTTACTGCTATTCTCTAACTGTGAGCGATGGTACATTCAATGTGGACCCAAACCCTGAATTAGTGAATCCTCCGTGTTTTCCTGGTGAGCCCAGGGCCTACCTCAGGCTCACAATTTGGCCCCGGGGCAGTTTATAACTATGCTTCCATAGACCCTTCTACATCTTCTCATTTGTCTCACACATACGTAGAATTTAGGCTACAGAAGCATCCAGCCCACAAATCAGTAGAAGCCAACTCAATGGGTCACACAACCCAGACACAGGAGATGAGAACCACACGTCCTGGGAACCTTATCAGTCTCCTACCTATCTCAGTCTCCCTGGCAACAAGCTTGGCATACACTATAGATTTAAAGTGCTTCATATTTTACCTGAACCTCCAAATTTCTATTCACAATGACTTTCTAAACCCTTCCGAAAGGTAAAGAATTGAAATTTAACAGTTCTTCATATTTTCCTAGTCTTATTTATTTCAATATTAGGTGAGAGAAACAGAACTCATATTTACCTTGAATTTAATGACATAGAGAATCGGAGCAAAGGTTTCTGTGTGCACAATGGGCGCATCATGGGCAAGACCTGTCACAATTGTGGGTTCCACAT